AGTGTCTCGGGGCAGGTCCACATTTCCTATCAAATTTCCACAGAATACTGGGCGTCTGGCTTTGTCTCCTTTTTCTTTTTTGAAGGGAGAGTTAAAAGCTGAGTGGCATCACATGGGTCTGTGTTGGGGGAGGCAGGTGCACACTGAATATTAAGCACATAAACACGCGACGGGGGAAGTCACGTTACACACCCAAAGCGTCACTCATGATTCTAATTAACAGCCATTAATAGAGCTCAAATGACAAATGAGTAATTTTCATCTGATTCTCTTTACAGGAAGTGAATGGCAGCTGTGAAATTGTCCTCAGAGGTGTGAAGGTCACTGCCAGCCAATGAGTCCTTGTGAGGTTCTAGACCACCAGCAGACATTGCCGAAGCAACGCTGGCAGGAACAGTGATCAGTACCAGGTGACAGGGCAACTCCCACTGTTCTGCGTGCAGTGTCTGTCTAAACCAAGCCTCTCTAACCCACCACCCAGGACAGCTTTGAATGTCACCCAACACAAATTCACAAACTTTCTTAATACACTAAGAGTGTATGTGTGTGTGTGTGTGTGTGTGTGTGTGTCTGTGTGTGATTTTTTTAAGTTCATCAGCTATCATTAGTGTTAGTGTATTTTATGTGTGGCCCAAGACAATTCGTCTTCTTCCAAGGTAGCCCAGGGAAGACGAAAGATTGAACACCTCTGGAGAACATCGCAGGCATGTAACACACACACACTGCTGCAGGTTGAGCTGTGTCCCCTTAGGACCTGTGATGTGACCCCACGTGGACAGAGGGTCTTTGCAGATGGGATCAAGTAAAGATGACGTCATGCTGGAGGAGGGTGGGCCCTAAAGCCAATGCCTAGTGTCCTTCCAAGAAAAGTTTGGACACAGTCTCAGATAACCAGGAAAACGCTGTGACAACAGAGGCAGAGGTTGGAGTTAGGAGTCTACGAGCCAAGAAATGCCAGGGATCACTGGCAACCACCAGAACCTCTCCCCTAAAGACAGGAAGGCCCTCACCACCTCACCCCTCCCAGCAATCTACGCATGCCAGCCACAGGTGAGGATCAGGACAAAGGCTATTCAGGCACAAATTAAACCAGAACAGCTGTGCACAGACATTCAGCAGACTCAACCTCAAAGCCTGCAGAAGGGGCCAACCCCGTCAACACCTAGATTTCGGACTTCTGAGAACTGTGAGAATACACTTCGGCTTTAAGCCACAGTTCATGGTACTTTGTTACCACAACCCTAGGACTGAGGTGCACATATACACATTACACACCTAGGTGTGCACACACACCATTAAGGAATCTGTCTATACAAGAGGTTTATTCTGACTGCTCCCTACAGAGTTACCCACTTTTGCATTGTTAATTCACCAATTGAAAAAAACACTATTTACATCCTGCCCTCATTTGAACTGCATCTTTACTGCATCTTGTGAGTTGGATCTCTTCCCTACAAAAATAAAGTACCAACCAAAATGCATCATACAGTTAAAAAACAGCAGATGTTACCCTCTGGGATGGAGCTAAAATGCATCTGATGTATCTGCTGAAAAGCAGGCTCAGATCTGGAGATGGCTCTGCACTAGAAATGTTTCTACCAAGAGAGCTCTCCCATGAAGACAGGAAGGCCCTCACCACCTCACCCCTCCGAGCAATCTCCATATCCCAGCCACGGGTCAGGATCAGGATAAAGGATATTCACAAACTAGTTTAATCAGAAGAGCAACTGCACGACATGGAACAGATTCAGCCTCAAGGCGTGCAAAGCCCACACCTTGATTTCAGGCCTCTGAGAAGTGTGAGAATACATTTCTGTTTTATGCCACACTGGGTACATATACATCTATTACACACCTAGGTGTGCACACACACGTGCATGTGTGCACACACAGAAGGAATCTATCTGTACAAGAGGTTTACTCTGACTGCTTTCATGAAATCAACCACAAGCTCCCTATGGAGTTACCCACTTTTGCACTGTTAATTCACTAACTGAAAAACAATGTTTACATCCTTCCCTCATTTGAACTGCATCTTTAATATCATCTAAATCTTGGCTGGGTGTGGTGGCTCATGTCTGTAATCCCAGCACTTTGGGAGGCTGAGGCGGTGGGATCACTTAAGGTCAGGAGTTTGAGACCAGCCTGGCCAACGTGGTAAAACCGTCTCTACTAAAAACACAAAAATCAGCCAGGAGTGGTGGCGGTCGCCTGTAGTCCCAGCTACTGAGGAGGCTGAGGCAGGAAAATCACTTGAACCCAGGACGCGAAGGTTGTAGTGAGCTGAGATTGCGCCATTGCACTCTACAGCCTGAGTGACAGAGCTGTGACCAAAAAAAAAAAAAAAAAATCTAAATCTTGTGAGCTGGCTCTCTTTACCACAATAATAAAATATCAACCAAAATGCATCACACAATTAAAAGACAGCAGATGTTACCCTCTGGGATGGAGCTAAAATGCATCTGATGTATCTGCTGAAAAGCAAGCTCAGATCTGGAGACGGCTCTGCCCCAGAAATGTTTCTACCAAGAGGGCTCTCCCCTGAAGACAGAAAGGCCCTCACCACCTCACCCCCTCCCCACCCTCCCCACCTCACCCCTCCCAGCAATCTCCATATCCCAGCCACATGTCAGTGAGGATAAAGGATATTCATGCACTAGTTTAATCAGAACAGGGTACAGACACCAAGAAGCACAGGGAGAATCCAAGGAGCTATCTGGACAGGCAGATCCACAGCAAACTGTCTTTCACTCGAAGCGGCTGCCCCGCTGATCCTTCTAGCAGCTGTAAGAGGAAAGGTGGGCCGACGAGAAGGTAACAGTGACACCAAGAAATGGGAAGGACACGGAGCTCACTCAAAATCCACTCCCTCAGCTGGGCGCCAGCCATTCCCATCGGCTGCGGCCTCGCCTTTGTGTGGTTATGAACCAACCACAGGTGAGGCTGAGCTATCACCAGCTGGTCAACCTCCAGCACTCCCCGAGGACCACACAGCCCTTTGCTATTCTCCACACACCCAGGCGATGACACAGTAAATTATATCCCAAACCCACTACACTCTATACCTAAAGCTTTTCAATTAAGCAAGCATGGGTAACTGATCAACACGGACTCGCTGGACAAAAACTGAAATCACTTTCCAGGTGCAGGCTCCCTTAGCATGAGAAGGAATTTCAGGATGGCAAGGCCGCGGTATGAAAGAAATCACGGCTTCTCATTCGTTTTCTTTCCCAAACAGCAAGTATGGCTCCCTTCGTCACAAGTTACAGTACAAGTCATGGCTCCCCCCACCCCCCTGCCACTGTCAGGAGGCACAAGGGTCACGTGAACAGGGAGTGAAAGTCCGTTCCCTGGTCTCGTTAAAAGAGGCAAAGACAGTGGCCACCTGTGTGATTATACATGGGAAAGGTGGCCCAGCCATGAGAAATGTGAATTCGGCAGGGCTAAGAGGCTTCCAGGCGTAAGGCAGCGCCTGTATTCATAATTCTTTCAGCACCAGGGGCCCTAGACGCACGCCCACTGGGGTGCACCTGGGTGTCTGCTGCTGTCAGCTCCTCACACTCCCACAGAACAATCCCTGGGACCTCGAGTCAAAAGGTGAGAGGCCAGACGCCTCAGGAGAGCTGCAGCAGGGCATGAGTAAAGATCAGGGATCATGATCTTTTCCCTGACCCAGGAAGCCTTGGGCATGGGGCCCACGCGGATGATAAGCCATTTTCACTTTGCAGATGAAGAATGGGATGTACTCACCCATGCTCCTACCCTTTAAAAAAATGTATTTTTAAAAACCATACACAATACTATGAAATTTCAGTGGAGTAAAATGTATTACTTGAAAAACCAAAGAAGCAGGGGTGTTAGTGATCAGTTTAGGTCATCCCATGGGGGCATTCCTTCCTTTTGATGTATAAACATTCAAGAGAAATGCCTTGGTGTTAGTGAAAATATAAGGGTCAATTACGCATTGCAAAGATGTCACAGTTGGGCCCAAACATGATGGAACACACTGTAAATGCCCAAAAGGAAAACGGCAAAAAGCCACAAAAATGACCAAATAGCAATATAACAGAAAGGCCACCATGAGTCGTGGTCCTTGTTCTTACTGCAGAGACCTGGGGCCTCCAGCACCGCCCCGCCAGACACCCAGACCCCAGGGCCAGAGACAGTCAGAACAACAGCAACAAAACCAGTGCCCGACCCATGGAACTTCCTGTGATCCCAGGTTGAAATCCACAGACTTGCAGGGGCCTCAAGGCAGCTTTACTTGGAAAAGGTGATTATTTCACTTGCAGGTGAATTAACCTCTGTATAACCTCTACAACAGCTAGCCCCGAGAGGTAAGTGGAAAACCCAAGGGAGCTCCCCTAAAAGATTCCCTAGGTGTCATCAGCTGGCTGTGGCTAAAATTCACACTCGGACACAAAGGAGCAAATAAAAGTCATCACAACCCAGGGACAGTGCCCAGGAAAGGAGCTGGAAAGACGGGGGACGAAATGCTGCCTGTTCTCGTTTCTCCAAATCTTGCCATTTTCTAGCATCTGTCTGTATTTATCAGTGGACAGGCAAGCTTTCTCTTACTGATCCCCCACATACGAGCCTTCATTTATTTTCACCTCTCACCTTCCTACATCACCATTTCAGTACGAAAGGTCTCTTCCTGATGCCTGAGGTGTTTATGACCGGTTGCAGAATTCTGCAGAACACTGGCAGAGCCCCAGGCCACTTCCATACGTTTCTGAATGGTACCACAGTATTCAGGACAAGAGTTAAAGGCTAGGACAGGTGTTACAGGAAACAGGTGAAGCTACTTGGAACTACTGCTAAAAAGACAACTAAGGGACAAAACAGGGTGGAATGTTCAACTCAGAAAAAAGATCAAATGAAACAAAATAGGATGGCACACAGAACAAGGAGGGACGGGGACGCTACAGTACAGAGTGGTGCCTGTCCTCTCTCTCCAAAACAAGACAAGCGCTGCCATGAAGAAAATGAATAGTTACCTGCATCCATATCTGCAAAGAATGGAACAGCCAGTAAGAAAAAGAAGGAACCAGAAATTCAGTGTCTCAGAGTTGGATTTAACAAGGTTACACGGAGAGAAAATTTAATTTAGAAAACTGCTTGTCAACTACACCTTCATTAAGGGACACGGGGGCTAAAGGCTTTCCTCCCATTACCATCATCGTATTTAAGGCAAAAAATAAAATATGGACATGTTAACTGAAGAAGTAAATGCCTAATGGCAAAAAAAAAAAAAATCTTACTCTCATGCAAAATGATTATTAAATGTTTATAATACAATATAAGGGGGGAAACATACTCAAACATATGGTGGTGGTAATCTGAACGTCTTATGCAGAAAGGCTCTACCTATGACTAAGTAATATTACATACAAATAATGCATAAATTCAATATCCAGATCACAGACATGTCCAGTCAATATTTAAAGGAGTAACAATGGATAAAAAGGACACTAGATTTAAAAGGACATTTGAAAGGACAGGACAATTAGGCAATAAATTCAATGGCATTTCATAGGTCTGCTGTGCTATTCCAAATACCAAAGTGAATATAATGGCTCTGCTAAAAATACTACTGAGGAAACCACATACTTAAGGATTTTTACTGCCTGGTATGTTTTATTGCTTTCTTGACCTGTGATACATCAAAGTCACGTTTGGAATATGCTAAAGAAATTTTTTTTAAAAACTACATTCTTAAGCTTGCAACTGCCTGCCAAGCAGCATACCTTCCGGAGACTCCTCCTGGACATACGTGCCCGTCAGGTACCGGTGCACCAGGGCCGACTTGCCGCTGGCCAAGTTACCCACAATTCCCTGAAACAGAAACCGACATCCGTTAAGCATAATCCAATTGCTTTATTTGGCATTTTGCAGACACAAAGAGGCTAAAATAGACAGGCGGCCTAAACACAAACACCACCAGGCACTGGCTGGATGGCCAAAACCGAGCTTGTTCAGTGCTCCTATTGGAGTAGAAGGGAGTCCGGCGCCCTTAATTAACATCTCACGTTCTCATCTGCCTCTGCAGCTGCAATGGCATCCGCAGTGCTGGCAGAAACACTAGTTGGGCATTCTTCCAGAAAACAAGCGCATGGCTTACATCAGGGCTGTGTTGTTTGAGTCAGCCCGCTGGCATCTACTGCGCACCCTCCGGAGACTGGGAAAAGTGGCACGTGAGGTGGCACCCAAGGGCAGTGCTGAGTGACGTGGGGGGAGTGGGAGGACCAGTGCACGGTAGTGTCTCCAGGGAGGAGTCCGGGGTAGATCTGAGGGCAGGACAGCAGGAGCAGAAAAGAGCAGTCTGGGGGAGACCTGGGGGTGGAGGAGCAAGGCAGTGGCTGGCCACACAGGCGAGGAGAGCACACACCTGCCTCCCAGACATAAGACCCACCACGGCATCTCCGAGAAAAAGGGGACGGTGCTGAGGCTGCTGGGAGAGACGGCAAAGGTGCTCGCTTGTGCTGGATTAGAAGGCGACCCTCAGGAGTGAGGGTGACATGACGGCCTCTGTCCTAGCGGTAACCTGGTGGCAAGGCTGACCCTCCAGGGGCTTCTTCAGAGGAAGCCTCCAAGTGGTGAACACACCTGGCCTCCAAGCGGGCCAGTCCCGCAGGGAGCTTCCCCTTCCCCGTGCTTGGGAGCTGCATACCACCCCCCCACCCCACAGTCTTCTCTAGGAAGCTGCTCATCAAAAATATCCTGCATTTTCATCTTTTCCTCCCCCACTAGAACATCGCTAGTGATCAAATTTAAGCATGATCAAATTGATTCCTTAAAAGACCTAAAACATCACAAGGGACCCACCCCTGGCCACAGGTGCCCATTAAGGCCATCTGCCATTACCCGAGCTGAGACTCAGCCCCGCCTGCTCTTGGTTCCACTTGCTGTTTTTGAGATTGGGTCTCACTCTGTCACCCAGGCTGGAGTGCAGTGGGGCAATCTCAGCTCACTGCAACCTCTGCCTCCTGGGTTCAAGCGATTCTCCTGCCTCAGCCTCCCAAGTAGCTGGGATTACAGGTATATGCCACCACACCCAGCTAATTTTGTATTTTTAGTAGAGATGGGGTTTCTCCATGTTGGTCAGGCTGGTCTTAGCCTCCCAAAGTGCTGGGATTACAGGCGTGAACCACTGCACCTGGCCAGTTCCCCTTCCTGACCTCCCTCCTGCCTCCACTCAAATTATCTGAGGCTCTGGCCAGTAGGTCACCCATGACTTCCATTTCAAAGCCACTAGCCTTTCTCACTCATCATAGGCAGCTGCTGCTAAGACACTCTTCCAACTCCAATGCCGGCTTCCGCCTCTACCAACCTCCCAGCTCTGTGGGCTCTGCCTCCATCCTCCGGGACACACTGAGGCTCTCCAGGGCTCCACCCCACACCTCTAGCTGATCCTCCAACTCTAATGTCCCCACATGTGCCTGTCCACATCCAACCTTCTCTGAGTGAGTTGTGACTCCATTTAACAGGAGACACCCTGTAGACTCTGGAATTGTAGCTCACTGACGGAGGTTGGATGTGGGGAAAAAGCTGCCTATTCCAAAACCACATTCCCTGGCCACTGCCCACTCCAGCTCCAGGCACCCCTACTCAGCTCCCATCAGAACTAGGCCAGGGCTTTACGTATATATCCGTACACCACCCATGCGGAACTTGCGCCTTGACAGGTCCATACCTCGTCTCTCCCTTCCAGGCTGCTCATCAGCTTCTGAGGCCACATGATACTCAGCCTCTCAAACCAGAGAGCTGGGGGCCATCCCTGGCTCCCAATGGCTGGAAGTCAGGGAGTCCCTCCCTCCTGGCACACGACTGCCACCTCAGTGTGGACTCTTCGGTGTGCCCGGATTGAGGAGGCAGCCTCCAGGGCCTCGCCCTGCCTGCAAGCACCTGCTTTCACCCCGAGAACACCCGAGAGATTCTTGAAAACTGACCATGAGAAAATGGCACTCCTTCATTTCACAAGTCCTGGGAGACTCCTGATGCCTGGAGGCCACACTCCAAACGTTTTCGGAACAAACCATCTCCCTCCGAATCCTCACACACAACTTTGCTGTCAGCCAACGGGCCCAGCAGGTCTGTGAACTTGCCACAAGAACACTTCACTGCTCCTGCCACCTGAGCACCCACCTCTCTTACCTCACAAGGGCTTCACTTTCACTTGGGAAGGCTTCCCTGCTTCCCCTCCCCAACCCCCATAGGGCTCTGGTGATGCCCTGGTGATGCCCTGGGCTCCACCTCCCACTACACTTAGGACCCTGAAGGCCAAGACTCTGTCTCCGGATACAAGCAGACACCAGTTCCCAATCTGTACACTTGTCACAGTTCCTGGCCCCAGCAGGGGCCTGGTAATAAAGGATGGGTGGGTGGATAGATGGATGGCAAGGAAGAAGGATGGGAAGAAGGAAGGAGAGATGGAAAGTGGAAAAAAAGAGGAGAGGAGAAGGAAGGAGAGACAGGAAGGAGGAGGGAAAACTGGTTAAGTGGATGATGAAGCCAACAGCTATTAAGAACAAACATAGAAGAGAACAAATTTGACGTGAGTGTGTGGAAGGGAAGTTCTCAGTGATTTACAGGCGAGGTAGTGGTCTGCTGCCTGAGTGAGGGCTCATGGATCCAAACATTCTCCTTCACCCAGTCCTGGCTGCTCCCACTCTCCACTCATTAGCCAGAGTGGCCTTTCTAAAAAACCCATACCCCGGGCAGGGCACAGTGGCTCACACTTGTAATCCCAGCACTTTGGGAGGCCGAGATGGGCAGATCACGAGGTCAGGAGTTTGAGACCAGCCTGACCAACATGGTGAAACCCCATCTCTACTAAAAATAAAAAAATTAGCTGGTTGTGGTGGTGCACGCCTGTTAATACCAGCTACTCAGGAGGCTGAGGCAGAAGAATCGCTTGAACCCGGGAGGCAGAGGTTGCAGTGAGCCAAGATCACGCCACTGCACTCCAAGATCGCACCCTGCACCCCCAAAAAAGAAAAACCTCCAAGATCGCATCCCCTCCCCCCCCCAAAAAAAAAAAAACTATACCCGATCCTGTCCTCTCACACCCCAGCAACAGCCCTCCCGCCTCTCGCCTTCCCTCTCCCTGCTTAGCCTTCTAGTCAATCAGCTACTAAGCCACATCCCAACAGGCCTTGCGGTCTCCAGGCAACTAAAGCTTTCCACATCAATCATTCCCCAAAATCTACTCTATCAGTTCAGATGCCACCTCCTCTGAGAAGCCTTCGGCTGTGGTAGAATGTTCACGCTTCCCCCTCCTACCCCCACCCTTCCAGCCAAACTCGTATGTTAAAATCTAACCCCCAGCTGGGCACAATGGCTCACGCCTGTAATCCCCGCACTTTGGGAGGCCAAGGCAGGAGGATCACCTGAGGTGAGGAGTTTGAGACCAGCCTGGCCAAGATGGTGAAACCCCATCTTTACTGTAAAAAAAAAAAAAAAAAAAATTAGCTGGGCATGGTGGCACATGCCTGTAATCCCAGCTACTCAGGAGGCTGAGACAGGAGAATCACTTAAATCTGGGAGGCGGAGGTTACAATGAGCTGTGATCACACCACTGCACTCCAGCCTGGGTGACAGAGCAAGACTCTGTCTTAAAAAATAAAAACAAAATAAATAAAAATTTTAAAAATAGAAACCTGACCCCCAAGGTGATTGTATTACGAGGTGAGATAGTCACAGGTGCAGATTAGCACCCTTACAGAAGAGGCCTGGCAAAGACGTCTCACCTCTTCCTCCACATGAGGGCATAGCAAGAAGACGCCGCCTACAAAACAGCAAGCAGGTCCTCACACACCAAATCTGCAGGTGCCTTGATCTTGGGCTTCCCAGCCTCCAGGACTGTGAGCAATACATTCCTGTTGTTTATAAGCTGCTCTGTTTATGATATTTTGTTACAGCAGCCCGAAGGGACGAAGACATCTTCCTAATGCCACAGCCTCAACTGGGTGCCTCTCCTCAAAGCTCCCTTAGGCGTCTGCCCCAAGGATTTCTTTCAATGGGAACACATTATTTTGCAAACATCAGTATGCTGATCTTGCTCCTTCCGATGCTGACAATTCCTCAAGGGCAGGCACACTGTCTTACACTTGTCTTGTTCTCTGAATCCCTGCCTTACGCGGGCCAGTAAAAGAATGAATGAGTGACGGAGTAACTCCAATGCTGGTGAGTATGAATGAGATGCTTATTACTAAGGCTCAGAGCCAGGCTCAAAGCCAGGCTGTGTGGACAGATTCTAAATAAAGCTGTTTCCCCCCCCAGTTCGACGTACATCTTTTTTACCCTGGCCCTCTATAATCTGAGAATTTCTACCTACTAATTAATCTTTTGCTCAAGGGCACCTGCTGTTCGTCAGCTTCATGCTGAGAAAATCCAAAACAGTATGCCACAGAATTAAATTTTTAATTAAAATCAGAGTTTCTCCTTCCCAAGGAAGAAAATGCTCGAAAACCAAACATCGTATGTGCCTTCTCTGCATAGCAACGTAACTGCCTTCTTCCACCTAACAAGATGGGCGCAGATTAAGCTCACCCCTTAGGGGAACAAAGGCAATCAATCTTGGGGTGGAGTGGGAAGGAGTTTTGTTTGGCTGAACAGCCATCTCACAGACTGCCTTATATTCACACATGATGGCATTATCTTAATTTGAAATGCTGGTTGAAATTAACAGCTGATGGTGAAAGGAAAATAAAAGGAGGGGTAAAAATGCCCTTTCCCACCGTTGCGGCACGCCACCTGTGAAGCTTTCTGAGCGGCTGCTGGAAGTAAACCAAGATGGAGGAAATCAATCCAGAGCGAGCCAAAAAGCCACGTGTGGAGGAATCGGGTGTCTTGAAAATTACAGAATTACGTACTTAAGGCAGGAAGAGGTCGCCGCTGTCAACCCGGCAGGGTCTGTGCAGGGCCATGAAGTGTGTCGGAGCCCCGTGCTCGGTCCTTCATATTACAAGGCCAAAGGGAACAAGTGTCTTTCTAAACTGATTCTCGCATCCCGCACTTCACCACTTACCTGCTAACCCTGAGATTTGCTGAAAAGGAAATCAAGACTTTTGGTAAAAATCCCAGTTGGAGTTCAATGAACACACACTAATAGGATGTGAGGGGCTGGGGACTGAGGTCCTCCTGCACAGGCAAGATGTCCAGGGCGTATCTGCCTTCTTCCCCGCCGACAGAGGCATCATGCCTTTGCTGCTGGGCACACATCTGTAGCCAGCAGCGGCTGGATCCTCTGCAGCACCAAAAGCAACCAGTCACGGATGACCTGACCACAGCGCAACTTCAGAAAACATAAGGCTGGGCGCGGTGGCTCACGCCTGTCCTCCCAGCACTTTGGGAGCCCAAGGTAGGCAGATGACTCGAAGTCAGGGGTTTGAGACCAGCCTGGCCAACATGGTAAAATCTCATCTCTACTAAAAATACAAAAATTGGCCAGATGTGGTGGTGGGCGCCTGGCATCCCAGCTATTCGGGAGGCTGATGCACGAGAACCACTTGAACTGGGAGGCAGGGGTCGCAGTGAGCCAACATGGTGCCGTTGCACTCCAGCCTGGGCAATAGAGTGAGACACTGCCACAGGCGAGAACAGAGAAGAGAAGGCAAGGCATGGTACTACCATTCTTGAGAAGAAAGCAAACATTGAATTTTTTTCTCTGATGGATTCCAAAAGATTTATAGCAAAATGTTACATAAAGAGCCTATTGGAGGCTTGCCATGACATCATGTCACTGCCGCGTTTGCGAGGCAGGGGCTGGGTTCCTGAGGCGCTGACCTAAAGGGCCACCTGTCCTGGGGGGAGCTGCGCTAGGAGGAAAACAATCGCAGCCCTGTGGGCACTTGAAGGCTGCCTTGGGGAACAAAGCAGCACTTTCTTCAGACCCCGAGCACTCCTCAGCACACAGGGGGTCTTGGGAGGTGCCAATGAGGACTGGCTCCGCTGATGCCACCATAGGAGGGCACTTGGGCTACAGCAGAGCTGGTGGGCCTGCCAGGGTCTCGTCCATCCACACTCAGGCCAGGGCTGGGAACTTTCTGAGAACTGTAGAATCAACAGCACGGAAGTCCACTGCATCAGCAAACTGAAGCAAGTCCGTTTCAGAACGACACTAAATGCAATGGTCTCAAGTGCAGTCTCCTCCACCTCCGGGCAGATATTCAAGAAAATCACATGCTTTCAAAATACCAGCAGAGCGTAAGTTTTTGGTAGTAAGCATCCTTGATGGTGGGCTGGTATGATCACGTGGGCCCTCTCTGAACCTGCAACACCTTGAACTGGCAAATCAGGTGGTTCCATACTTGACGGTTAGTTCATCTGTAATGCTGGCACTAGGGTGGCCACTGGCCCTGTGTGGCTATTTCAATTTAAATGAACTAGAATCAGACTTAAATGCAGCTCCTTGATGGCGCTGGCCACATTTCAATCACTCAACAACCACACAGGGCCAGCTGCGACCACACTGGGCAGTGCAGACACACATTTCTACTGTCGAGAAAGTTCTATCAGGCAGTGAGGTGGTGGAAGCACCAATTCCAGGTTCGAACCTCAGCTCCACCACTTACTCACTGCAGCTCCTTGGGCAGGTTCTTCACTTCTCTGAGCCTCAGTTTCCTCATCTGTGAAATGGGGATAACCATACCTACCCCTCCCCATGGGGCAGTTGTCAGGATTAAGCAATTTTGTACAGCACTTAGAACACGACCCGCGCAGAGCCAGCGCTGTATAGACGCCATCGCTGCCAGTAAAGCACCATGCCTGCTGCTCCATGCCCATCACAGAACCCGAATGGCAGCGACTGTCTTAACAGGGAGTCACTGAAACTGGGGGATTGTTCTGAAAATCTCCTGGTAACAGCATTGCCAAGCCTGTGCCATTCATGCAGCGCCTATTTCCTGGATGGCTTCTCTCGGCTTAAGACACCCCGCTGGTGCCGCGGTGACAAAGCACACAAAAGGCAGCAAGAGGCGGCTGTTTCCTGGCTGGTGCTAGGAACCCCAGGCTTCCAAGACAGGAACTGGGGCTGAGAAGGTTTGTCTCCCATGAGCAGGCACTGCAGAGACAGCCCAGACACCTTCAGGGAGGGACAGGGCGGGGGACAGACACTGGGAAGGAGAAGGGCCCAGTCGATGACACCCCACGGTCACAGTGGGGATGGGTGTGTCAGACGCCAACAAGAGAGAGGGCACAGTGACCACAGGGCCTTCCCATCTCAGGGCACCTCCCACGCGCTGTACTTCATTCCCTAAGGTTAAAAACGCAGATTCTTCCTGGTGACAAAGGTCACGTATGCTCTCTTCAAAGCCCTAGAAGGTCTCTGTTGCTTTATCTCCTCATCTCAGGCACGAGAGACCGAAAGGGTCCTGTCCCCTGGCCCTTGTCCTGTCCTCCAAGCACCCAGTGAGTTTGGGTCAGTGGGGAGGAGTCCACGGGCTGCAGGGGGTCTGGTGCCGTCCATAGAAATGCAGAGAACAGACACACTCGGCAGGCCCGGCCTGAAGTCTACAGAACAGCAGGAGTTCACCTGCCTTCCTTTCACAGTCAGAGTGAGATTAGAACGTAGACACACACACACGCATACGGAAATCAGACATATATACACATACATACATACATACATAAACATACACGCATACACACAAATGCCACATATATCACGACAAAGAACGATTGTTTCAAAGTTAGAGTTACCCCTTCCTTCCATCCTATGGTGGGTGGTTCCAAGAGGGGAGCAGCTGGAAAGGGCGGCTGCAATGGACCACTTTTTACGTACGCCAATTTTAAGCTTTAGATAATTTCACAGAAAGGGCAAAGTTCGTAACAGAAGACAAAACTGTTAATTTCATGCCAACACTTGCTCACAGAGTAGATAAGTCACATTTAAAAAATGATGAATACCAAAGCGTGGTGACTCATTATAGAAACCTTCCATGACACCCAGCAAAGGACAAATAAACCCACAGGTGTGGGGGTGGGGAGAGAAACTGACCGACCACCAGGTCTCACACACACACACACACACACACGCACACGCACACGCACACGCACACACACACACACTCTGTAAAAGGGGGGATGACGGTGGCCTCTGCCCTGCAGAGGCGATGCCGCCCTGGCTGGGTGGCTGTCATGGCTGTTTCAGGTTCACTCAGGACTCTAGTTCCCAGCTATCAACTACACCTGGCCCTTCCCAGGAACACACCCAGCGTCACACTCCCACTCTGGGCCCCAGGAGATGACCAGTTGCCTGGGAATGCAGGCTCAGCTCAGGTGTGCGCAGTCACATCTGCCTCTTGTAGAGCCCCCCCACTTCCCACAGGTGACAAATGACAGCTGCCAGGGCCAGAAGGAACCACTCACCACTTTGAGCTCCGGGACAGATCGACTCAGCGTCCATTCCTGGCTGTTCACAAAGGCATCTGCAAAACAGGAGGACACACGGTCAGACACCACAACTTGCGTAAGGGCCAAGTCAAAATCCCTCCAATGGGCCATTTTCACATCCGAGGGTCACGAAGATAAGGTGGACCAGCCTCCCTGTGTCACTCCCACCCCAGAAAGATTGCAGTTTGTCCCACTTCGTGACCCTCAGCTAGAGGCCAGTTGGGTGTTCCAACTTCAAGCCTGTGGGTGGTAACACATGCTTTGTCTAGCGACTTCAAAAGCTACCGAAAATCTAACTTTCCGTTTTCCCCCTGCTTAAGCCACAGGCCTTCCTACGGTGGAGCGTGTATCTTCAGACCCTCCTGACTGTGCCAGTTCGCAAGCGTGGAGATACACGAGGACACGTCTAACTTTCTGGGAAGTGATTCTGTTAAAAGCAGTCGGTCAACTTTTGGTTGTCTACTGTAATAGTCACTTCCCTGAAATCCCACACACACAAAAAAACGCATGACGACTGAATTTTGAAGATCTAAACAGTCACAACCTAAGTTAACACTTTAGTGTTTATAAGTAACAGGTTAGAGCTCACAAGAAAGATCTGGTGCTAGAGTTTTGATCCTCACAAAGACATTAAACACTGAAGACCCAGCCAGGATGGTTTAGACTATGTCGGAAAGACGGGGGGCTGTCATGCTCCGTGGGGCTGCGTACAGAGCCCAGCCCTGTGCAGGGGCGCGTGCCCCCACCTGGCCATACGTGGTGCACCCATCCGATATAGATGACCCAAACAACCTGGCTTTACCTGCAAGCCAATTTTCCACTCCCCCACGCAGGCCATTTCTTATCATAATTGAGACCCCACAATACTAGTCATGATCTGTCCTGATGGCCTCACGGCAGCTCGGTCAACACAAGTGGAGTGGGCTGGACCAGAGAGAGGCAGTGCATCCCACTGATAGCGAAACAGCTCTTTCCAAGAGGGATTCACTTCCAATTTATTTTCCTCCCATGTTGAAACTTATGTGTAAGAAGTGACGTGATTCATAAGAAGCCAAAAAGTCAAGAAAAACCATCCCTTTCAAAGAGCCGTGTGCTGTGAGGACCACATGGACGTGGGGCTGGAAGACAAAGGCCTGACCCTGTGGATGCTCCACACGGGTGACAAAGGAAGGCAAGACTGGCATCTGAAGGAGGCAGGCAAGCCCTGGGGAGCACAACTACCAGGTCACGTGCTGGAGGAGCACATTCCACCAGGTCACAACGCTGGAAGAGCACATCCCACCAGGTCACACGCTGGAAGAGCACATCCCGCCAGGTCACACGCTGGAGAGCACATCCCGCCAGGTCACACGCTGGAGGAGCACGTCCCACCAGGTCACACGCTGGAAGAGCACGTCCCACCAGGTCACACGCTGGA